GGGAAAGGTCATAGATCTCTCAACCTTGCACTAAGAAAGTAAGTCCATCGCATTCTTGTGCAATCAAACATAGTTAAAAATAACTCTGTGCAAGAATATTGCCTGAATCTTAACACAGCTGTATTCGTGCAGTAATACATAATTACATAATTATAATATTTTGATAATTACATGTGGTTGCTTTAAATGTTTCACATTGTATCTACTATATTACTTACCTTATTCTGAGATCAAATATACATGTCTTATTTATCTTTTTATTTATTCTGTTCACTTATCTGTTTGCAAATATTTGCAGGGAATTTAATTTATATGCTAATGTGCGGCCATGTCGATCATTGGAGGGGTACAAGACGTTGTACGATGATGTCGACGTCGTCACTATCAGAGAGAATACAGAAGGTGAATATTCGGGTATAGAGCACGAAATCGTAGAAGGCGTTGTACAGTCCATTAAGTTAATCACGGAAGAGGCTTCTCGCAGGGTAGCGGAATTTGCTTTCCAATATGCTACAGACAATAATAGGAAAAAGGTACATATGAAAATGCGCAAAAGGCTAAAGTTGGACTAAACGGACTGACTAAAATCTCTTTATAGGTCACCGCTGTACATAAAGCGAATATCATGAGGATGTCGGACGGTTTGTTCTTGAGGTGTTGTCGGGAAGCTGCGCAGAAATTTCCATCTATTAAATTCGAAGAAAAATACTTGGACACAGTTTGCCTAAATATGGTGCAAGAACCAAATCAATACGACGTGCTCGTTATGCCAAACTTGTACGGAGATATCTTATCTGATATGTGCGCTGGACTCGTCGGAGGTCTCGGTCTCACACCGAGCGGAAACATTGGCTTGAACGGAGCCTTGTTTGAATCGGTATGGCCATTATTAAAATGCGAATGAATTTTACATTAACTTTTCAACAGTCTTATTTTATACGACAAATTGTACTTTTAATTATATTCTAGGTACATGGAACGGCACCCGATATTGCCGGTCAAGATAAGGCAAATCCCACGGCGTTATTGCTCTCTGCGGTGATGATGCTCAAACATATGGGTCTCAACAGCCACGCAAAGATCATCGAGCACGCCGCTTATGATACCATCAAGGAAGCGAAATATCTGACCGGTGATTTAGGCGGTACCGCAAAATGTAGCGAGTATACAAATGAGATTTGTAAGAAAGTTGCTGCGCAAACAAAATAAAAGGCAGGTATTTCAATAATAGAAATCCAAACTGCCAAATACTCGTAGAATTCATGCGTCCATGATAAAAGGGATGCTATTTTCTACCATCTGAATTAATATTCTGTATGCACAGTCTTGTATGTATGTGCGTCTTTAGTGTAAATCCACAATTGGGCTCGGATATAGATCGAATATTGTTGAATACTCTCGAGCTTGCATCCACGCATGTACATTTAGAAATTGCTCTTGGATATATTCTCTCTTGGTTCGTTATAGGCGTAACAGATTATTACGTCCCTATTCTCGATGATCTGACAAATATGGAACGGCATTTAATTTCCTTCCATTTGTAAGATGCGCGTGCACCATCGTTGATTACATCGACTGAACATATTTCTTGTATACGTTTATCATTATGTATTATTTAACTTGTCCCAGAGAAAGGATCCTAGTAGAGATTGTAAAGATTAGCTATGTAAATTAAATAGTCGAAATGTGTGCTGTATCATAATTTTAAATAAAATTGTTACGCGAAACGTATGTTCCATAGCAAAATTAGTTTAAAATATCGAAAACATCGTACAGTATTACAAACTAATAAAAATCTATAAAACACATTTTGCATAGCAAATTATCTAGATCCTTATTCTTAGCTAATTGGCTACCTATATCGCCTGTTATCCCTCTCTCCCTCGTTATACAATTTTAAGAATTCATAAATTATGTTTAAAAAGTTCTGATTATAAAAAAAGTATATTTTATCTTTAGGAATAGTGTCACACAATACATATTTTTCTCTGATTTCATGCTATTATCATAATTTATAAAGTACCATCGAATCTTGTAGATCTTAAAGCGACGACGCGAATAATAATTTTCGAAGGGGAGAATCACGAAGGAAGGTGATAATGTCTGGGAAAAGTCCTCTTGATCGCTCTTGATACCAACATCACGGACGGATGTATCGTCCCTTCTCTCCTCCTCTCCCTCGCGGTATTACGTTATAGCATCCATCCCGCGGCCACTTCATAACTTTCCCCTACTCCCCTACTCGCGTCGTTCTCCGGTACGGTACACACTGTGCAGAGGAAAACTCTCAAGTATGAGAAAAGTTGCCGGCTATATTTCACCGGCGGGGCTGAAAATGGCGAAGGAAAAGGACGAGATGAAGAAGGGGACCGAGTGTCATCTTCGCCGCTCGTTAATTCCTTCTGTGATTTATCGCGATCCGCCGGGTAAATAATGACCAACTTCTCGAAAAATTTCGATATTAGATTTTCCTTAGGACGATGTCGCGCTGTTTTTCGATTATACTCGTATTAGATTGGAAAAAAGATTGTCACGATAATCGCATGCATTGATCGTGGTAAAATATTAGGACTTGTATCCCCCTTAATCTATATAAAGTATTTTATATCTGTTATAATAAATTCTCCGGAGTAAAATATTACATGAGACACATTTCATCAGTGCATATAAATGTTCGACGAGGGATACTTGGTGTATTTTTTATACTCGAAAACACGACGAAGGAACATGACGTGTCTCGTTTTATATAAACGTCATATTATTTTAAACTCGCAGGAGAGAAGTAGTAAAATTGATAAACTCCCGTCGAATTACGCTCTTGTAAAATGTCTGTACAATGTAACGGTGATGCTAACGAGCAAGAAGCGCGATGTGCATAGGCCGCGGCGGGGTAGTCGCACAAAGGTCTGACACTTCTGGTGAAGTGTGGAAAGCGCGACGCATGCATATTCAAGAATCACGAAGGAAGGGGGAGAGGTATACGTGCATGTGTGTGCGTGTGCGCCATCGTAGTCATAGGAATAATAAAAATTCGAGGGTTGAAATTATTTAGATTTATGCCCGCTCTCTTGTCGTCATGCCGCCGCGCCGTTGACGAGGCGCGATTCGATTCCGGGGAACAAATTTCATGCATTATTCAGGATGGCCGGGCCGGCGATGCAACTACCCCGGTTGCAATGGAAGCGATCCTTTTGGAAAAAGTCGTTTTTAATCTCTCGTCGCGCTTCAATAACGCGTGTGTGTACGACCCTTCGACCTTTTAAGAAACGGAAGACAATCCGCTACACGCGAATCCGCGATTCGATGACAATGCAAAGTATTTCAGGAACAACATTTTTCACGAGAATTACAATAAGTCTTAAAATCATAATTACAACATTAATGCATCAAAAAATTTCTTGCTCACAACGATGGAACTATCTCACCTGTTGACATACTATATCTCTTTCTAATACTGTAGCGAACATGCGATAGTGCTCGCCGGAGAGATGTGACATACTCCGTTTGGAGTTATCTGCAGGAGAGATCCGATCGCGAATGCTATCGGTACGAATGGGAACATTTTAATCCCGTCTACGCAAGAACGTCATTCTTTTTTTTTTTAACACATCTGTTTAATTAATTGTTTCGACGGCGTGGTAATCGTCTTACCGCGGATTAACAAGTCCGGCATCCGTCGCGGCACTAAAATTCTCGTTCCATTATCATCGCGGACTGTCCGCGCGTCGCATCTTCGAGTTGAGAGCAAACTACTGCCGGATATGAGGAACGTTATTTTCTTCGCGGTCGTCGTCTCTATCGCGAGCTATGCCGATGGCAGAGTTTATTATCTGGAGAATTTCGACGGTGTGCGAAATAACGAGGCGATCTATCCGATCGTGGAGCAGCAAGCTTCCCGCGACCTGGACCTGGCCTTCTCCGCAGGAGATCCGGTCGAGAACGAGAATGTCGTATCTCCGACCAGAAAGGTCAGTGAAGAATTATAAACTGGAAAGATTCTATTTTCGAAATCAAAATTTATATATATCCATTTATATATTTTCGTTTTTTGCTATTTAGATAAGAATAAAATATCCTATTGTATTTATTTAGTGCCTTACTATACTCAACTTTCAATGTGAATTTAAGTTTGATAGAGTGTGCTTGTATCTATTTTGTTAGGTGTACACTCTGATCGCACCGGAAAAACCGTACATTGAGTCAAATAGAGACGCAGATCGTTCAATCGCGTACTACAAATTAACTGAGCCCGCTCCGACCAGAAGAGGCAACTTCGACGATGTCATTCTCGTTCCGCAAGGAGCTCGGAAATTGATGAAATTGAATGGTAACAATAAGGGCGAAGTGATCTTGGAGCTTCGCGTTATTGCTAATCACGATAGCACATGACTCGCGCGTTAAAATCAAACTTTCGTCGATTCACCTGGAAGCAAGCCGATAAGGCTTGAACAAGACAAGTTATACAGTTGAATCTCGCATTGCTTTTATTACGTTCAATTTACAACGATGAGTACTTTCTATCAATACATATAGATACATCGGAATATACTATTATAATATTTACATTACATATCACATTGTCGAATTCGGATCGGAGCAACCCCAGCAAACACAGATACATAACTGTAACATTGCTATAATAAAACGGAATGTAACAAGTAATGAATAGCGCGCCGTATAGCGGTAAGCAAATGAACTATAATCCCAATATTAGTTACAAAAGGACTTTATTTGGGCGATCATAGGACGTTTTCAAAATTACGTCTTTGGCTAGTCTAAGAAATGAGGTCTTTTAAACGTCAATTATTAGTCGCCGACATTATAGACCAAAAATAGACGTCATTATGTCGTCTTTTGACGTTACTCTGTTACTTGGGCAGTTACACTACATATTCCCATGTTACATAGCAGTTATATTCTGATGTTATATTGCGTAAATAAAAGGCAGTTATATAATCCCAATATAAATTAGGTATAACAACTGTTACATTACATGTTACTCCCATGTTACATAGCAGTTATATTCTGGTGTTATATTGCTTAAATAAGAGATAGTTATATAATCCCAATATAAATTAGGTATAACAACCGTTACATTACATGTTATTCCCATGTTATATAGCAGTTATATTCTGTGTTTGCTGGGACTCCACTCGGATAGTCTTTACGACCCTTCAGTTTTCGCTGAGAAATGATCTGTAACTTCTTCTTTGGTCGCTCAGTACAGAATCAAGTCGGACAATTCTGTCTCAAAAATGCAGTCGATATGACATTTGAAGTATTTAAGAGAAAAGTAAAGAACAAATGGGAAATGTTTGAAATAAATCTCTGTTGAAATTACACGCGCGCAAGAAATTCTTACGAAAAAGAAATTTCCGCAAAAAATAATATCTAAAGAGCAGCGAATATCTCCTCTCTTTTCCCATTACAATCATGATATGAAAATATATGACACACTGTAAAAGGAGCAATTCGATCTTGTGCATAGTTCGGTTACTTTTGTCTTGGCAGAGGTGCTATATTAGACGAAGGATACGATCGCGAGTGCAGTTTTGAAGATGTAACGAGAGAAAAGATGCGAATAACGACGCTACGATTCTATCTTAGCGATTAAAATGGTAAGACCGTCCGGCGCGCGCGTCTCTTTGCATGTCACGTTTATTATGAGTTAAGTTATTCCGTTATTTGTGACGTTTGCTCGGTCGACGGGTCACTCTTCGGCTCTTTCACGTAATCCACTACTAATTCGAGACCGATCAGAGCCCGTAGATCCTTCCTTTCCTCTTCAGAATTCGTCGTCGTATTACCGGCGTCTTCTACTTTCGCGATATCCTCGCCGGCTTGAAAAGCAACACGAATGTTTTATCATATGCGTCCTTCTTTCGTTAAAATAACGGAGATAACGCCTGACAATTCTTTCAACATGTTAGATAAGCGAAACTAAGAATAGCGAAAATATTTCAGAAACGGAAACAGAACAATTGTATTTCTATATTATCGTACTTTGAAACACATAAATGTGATACGAAACAAAATTGCCTACTTCTGACTTTCATCGAAACCAGACAAAAAGATTAAAAAACCAGTGACACAATATAATGGAACGAAAAGAATGGCGCAGGTGTTTCCTACCTTGGTGCATCTCCTTCGAGTCCTCTTCGTTCTCCATCGACGTGTCCGTCCTGGAGATCCTCGTCTGTTGTATGTCCTGATACGTCTTTGTGAGATGCTTCAAGATATAATTGGTACCCCGTGTATTCTCAGCGTCCGGGCTCTTCGACGTGGTAGCCTCGTCGCGGGTGAGATTCAACGGCCGATTGCTGTACTCTTTGGACTGCGGCACGCTGAAGGCCGAGCAGTGCTTCGTCTTGAAGGGTAGCTGCCGCTCGTTGGCGTGCTTGCGATCCCAAATGTGACCGGAAACGCGTAGATCTATGAAGAAGTGCAGGGGATCGATGCCGGGATAGGATTGCGGCATCGGATATGGCGGATACCATAGCGGTCCGGGTAGAAACTCGGCCGGATTGGACATGCCGCCAGGCAGAGCGGCGAAGCCCTTCACGCCCTGAAGAACTCCCTCGCATCCTCTGCCGGGCAAACCGGGAAGGAACGGCCCGCGCGAAAAATCGAGCTTCTTCTGATCCGATAGCTGCAGACCGGGTGGTACAATCTCCTGGCCGGGCGCGATGCTCTTGGTGCGATCTTCGTAACCCCTGCCGTTGTCGAAATTACAGTTCCTGCCGCTGCGTTCCAGCTGCTGCGAGTCCTCCGGCTTGACCTTTCGCGACTCTCCGCCGCCGGAGAAGATGTTCTCCGGCGGCTGGGCGTCAAAGTGCTGCCGCGGTCGTTCATGGTCGAAGAAATTTTTGCCGTGCTGCCGTGGCAAGAAGTCCGTCTTGTTCTCGTCGATGGGCTTCAGGATGTCACCGCCAAAATTAGGTTTCTGATCGAACGCGCCGGCTTTGTTCTCCGACGTCGCGTCGGGATAGGCGTCCGCTCGCTTGCCGGTCTCGTTCTCCAAACGAGTCTCCGACGGCATCTGAGCGGACTGCTGCTGCGCCGTGGAGTGATAGTATTTATTGGTGTCCTGGTGATAATGATGATGGTGATGATGATGATGGGATCGTTCCTTTGTCGTGAGTTCCAGTGGTCGGTCGCGGGCGTCCCGCCAGGATCGCTTGCGACGTCGCGCAGCGTTCGAAGCACCACCGCCGACGCCGCCGACACCACCGCCGTTGGCCGACGTTGTCTCCGTCTTGGCTTGCACGAAGGACCGCAGCATCTCGCTGAAGAAGAAGCTATGAGGGGTCAGCGGGACGTTGTAAAGATACGGAGGAGTGGCCGCCAGCAAGCGAGAAACGAGATCTCCGCCCGACAGGGAGGCTGGAGTCTTCAAAGTCGACGGGTCGCCCGTGGTCGTCGTCATTTTGGCGGCTGAGATCAGTGAAAAAAATGGAATAAAATTCTCGGAAATTTTATATAACGTAAGATTATCTCATCAGGCATTTGGATTAATTTAAGCAATAATTCATGATGGCAGAATTGTCCAACTCTGAGCACTTACTCGAACTGTCTCCATCTCGCTCTTGGCATCTTTTTCTTTTCATTTTGCTTATTTATTTTTTTCCTATCGCGTGTCGTTCATTCGCGTATAATATCGTAAATCAGCTGTAGACAGATATACGTCACTATGTCCTACACAATGCACACCGTAGATATTCATGAACTTTAAAGATTTATATAGGATATAATTGAAACCTGATAACAAATTTCAATAACAAAAACTATATTTTTATCACTATTAATTCTACATTTTTTACCTAATAATTTTATTTACTTTTTACTAGGACGTTATATCGTTTATGTCTATAGTTTTGCTATAACAGAAGAAAAGATATTTTTCTACTTTGAAATAATATTTTTTTCATATATTGTAAATATTAAATAGACGATTTTTCATGAATTTTTTAAAAGAGGGATTAAAACGTGCGAATATGGATCCATATCTCGCTCTTCTTACATAAGTGATTGGAAAATAATCCGTGAACAATGGAATAGCGCGGGCTTGATGATGTAATGACTGTGTACGAAGAACGAAGAACGTGTACAAGCACGACTCGCCGATGTGGAAGTGAGCTACTATTGTCTTCTGAAATTAATTGAATAGCTCCCGGCCTTAAGTCTAAGACCAAGGAAGAGCGGCGTCTGCAGCGGCATGGGATGAGAGAACCGGCCTGGGGTATCGCGTCATCCATTAAGGAATACTAATTTCTGTCAAGTACACGTTCGGTTTCGCCCGAGTGCGAGAATTCTCGCGAAGAATTCTCGTTGCCGAGAATTTCTCGCGACAAAGGATTCGTCGACGCAGATATCTCAATTGATATCAGCATCCGAATCATTCCGCAAGAATACTTGCACTGCAAATATTTATTTTTTAAAATTATTATTTTGATACACGTACAATATGCGTATGTTGTTTCATCACCAAATAATCATTGCAACGATAATATTGAGAAACAAACTTTAACTTCTCAATTTTACAATCATACATAATTGATGAGGATTCTGATCGCGACGAATGAATTTGCGCGATCGCAATCGTCGGAGAAATTTTTCTTCGTGACAGAAAACAGAGGTCCCTGAAAAGGATCTCGACGCGGCAGAAAGACCAAAGAGCAACGGGGCGTGGAAAGCAGAGAGCGGAGTCGTTCGTGCATCCGCGCGTCCAGAGAGAGAGGGATCGGGCATTGTTTCGGTCCATTGTTTCCCAAACAAACGGCGTCCACGTTGTTTCGTCAGGAGATATTATGTTCAGCCAGACAGGCAGGACGAACGGGAAATGGACTGCTGTCAGTTTTACTCTTCGTGATAAATACGCGCCCGTCGTTGGCGCCAGCCGCCAACGCCGCGGCCATAATTCCGTCCATCCGTATCGCGCGGTGCATGTCAAAGTTGCGATTGCAGTGACTTCTTCTCGCAATGTATGTATCGCAAAATTTCTCGAGCTACTTTCACAGTATAAAAATAAAAAGAAATATAATTTTAAGAAAAAGAAATTTACGAAAAAGTCCAGTTACACGAATATTGCTTATTACAATTTTTGTCTTATTTACTAATTTTTGTAAAAGAAAATTAATAAAATAACATTGCCATGAAATGCGAAAAATAAAACCCTCGGGCATTCTTAATTTTGTAAAAGACGAGATCCAAGAAGCGTTCTCCACCAGAGGCGCGAAGCGTTTCTATCATATATCACGGGAGGGAGTCCTTCCGGGGATGTCGGTGATTTTTTTCTCGCGCAGAGACTCGTTTAGACAATGATACCGGCTTGGCGGCTATTCTAAAGACCGTAAAGCGACTTTACGAGGAGGGGGGGGGGGAGAGCCGGCGTTACATTATTATTCCACTTGAAGTGGGAGACGCGAATGGAAGGCGCGGATCACTCTGACGCCGACGGCGCGTCGTCATCATCGTCGTCGTCGTCACCGTCGCCGTCCTCGTCCCCGTGGAGAGACAATCTCGGTTTCACGCGGCGCGCGAGGGAAGGCCGGTTTACGATTCATAAGACAACTCGGCGGATTGAATTAAGCTCGCTCGCGCTGCGGCAGCTGCCGGAGCCCGTCCGCCACCGGGCGGGCGGCGCGAATCTGCATAATCCCGTTCGCGTCGACGATTCTAATTGGCGGATTGTTTCAATCTCTGTCGCTGCGAATATTTGCATTCGCGCTGCTCTACCTCCATCGAGGCCTGCCACCCTCCCCCCGCTCGGTTGCCTTCGCCGCGGCTACCGCCATCCCCTCACTCATCTCACCCTACAGTCTCTGATCCTGCATCTTTCGTCTTTCTCTTTTTCCTCGTTCCCATCTCTTCTTTCCATCTCTGTAACCTCCTTTCGGCATTCACCTTATCGTCACTATCTCCATCGCGAGATGCAGAGCATATCAAATAATGAAGCATCCCTCTTATTTGAATTTCTCTCTTCGTTCAACTGAGCAATATATTTCTCTCTTTTTGCTATATTGTTATTAATGTCTATTCTATATCTAAAATTCTCTTTTGCAACCTGCACATCATTTCGCTCGATTTAAATTCGATTAGACAGGTTTTTTCTATATAATATTTTTCTACATTTACATGCTTCCATTGTGTAAAGCCTTGTGTATTGTTATCTTCATTTCAAAGATCGCCAGTGGCACTTGTATTTTTCGTTTCACCGGAATACGGTATTTTCTATAAAAATGGTCGTAAAAGAAATATTTTGAATTGTCGTCACTCAATTGCAGCCGTGTGTTTTATTTGGCATTGTTATATGTCGGCGGCCGCGCGTTTTTTTCCGCCTCCAAGCTAATCAGTATTCTCGATACTTTCAGTCGTTAACTATTTTTATATATATTTTTACAGTTTTTTTGTCTAAATATTATTTCTGAAATAGAAAGACAGAGAGAATTCCCAAAATATTTTTCGGCATAAATACGACATCAAAAATATCAATCTATCATTGCTTGAGAACTTATTTTCGAATTTAAATTTAAAAAAGATACCGTGTAAAATGCATCAAAAAATAAATACGAAAATTATCAAAGTGATGAGTCCGTCATCGGCAATCTTATCAAAGTTGATATATAACGCATCAGATTTATACGTAAGAGTCTCGTTAAAATTCGTGAGATATCAAACTTGAAATTTACGCTTTCGGTATAAGTCGTTTGTTATAATTAAACACACTACCCAAAGTCTGAAGAACGTTAAATTCTTCGTTTCGACTACCTTTATATAGTACAGTTCACTTCTTTAACTTCTTTTCGAGGAGAGACGCGCGCGATTCTTTTACGTCCACATAAATATTTTTATCGCGAGACGCTCTTGCGACAAAATCTTCTCGTTTTGCATAGAAAGAAAAAGCCGCCGGTCGTAGCAAAATCCGGGCTTTTTTTACGGTTGAACTCTCTGCGTAATTCAAACATCCTGCTTTCTGTGTCACGCGAAGGGAATGCGTCCGCCAAACGACTCTCGGAAGAATCCTGGGGATCCTACGACCCCGAGAAATAATCACGGTCTGACACTGTACGATCCTCCGCCACTTTGGCAAACTTTATAGTCTGCAGCTTTGGACAGATTCTTTATTATTGTTATTATCATTCAACATTATTTATTCAATGCCCTTTGATAAATCACTGTAAAGCCGTAGAATACAGAGAAAAATGCTGTAGATAATAAAATATAGTCATGATAGCATGCAGATAAATGGTAGAAAGAGATAAATAAGTAAACTTAAACATTCTTAAATAGAGTATCCATTGATGGAATTCTAGAAGAGAAAATGATATCCGAATATTGTTTCTTATTAGATTGAAGATAAAGTCTTTCGCAAACTGAGAAAAGATGTTAAAAATGATTATAGAGACTTTGAAAGAGAGATAGAGATACACTAATATTCTTGTAATAGTATACATATAATAGCAAATGCAATGATTGTCACGCAATAAAAATTATTGCGGCCACCGTGACATTTATTACGCATCGCATTCTTGCATTGCGCATGAAAAAAAAAGAGCGTATTTGCAGAATCGATCGTCCTGATTGTCATATAGATGCGACATGCAGATGCACAGCAGATGTTTAGCAGGAAGCAAGTGGTCAGTTAAGTGGTACAACCGCAATATCATTAGACGCTACGTACAGTGCAACAGAGAGTTGCATCGTTTTATGAAGAAACGAATGTCAATTCAGTCTGAATTTCAAATTTAAACAAAGGACGTTACTTCATTCAGTTAAACTCGAATGATAAAATAAATACAGAATTATCAAACAAATGTAATATTTTAATAAATAAATCTCGATTCACGTAAATAAATTGCGTTAAAAAGCAACTTCTTAGTTCTGAATATTAGTTCTGATAATTAACCTGCATGACATTTTTCACTATAACGAAGAATAAGTCCCAAACCATTTCTGATTAGATCGTTTTCAAAGAGATCTAAAATGTTTCCAAGAAAATATATCAGAAATATCAAAGATATCCGGCAAATTGCGGATAGAAAAATTCATTTCGCATCTAACTTTCCGTCAAATTTTTGCAAAGTCATCTGCGTATCGCTGACATTCCCGATGGCACGCGGCGAAAGAGGGGTCTTATCCTCAAGAGTTGCACTCACCTGCACACGCGATAGCAGCGGAGTCCTCGAAATTGGTGCCGCTTCGTGGACGACGATCCACCGGTGGCGCCCGGGATGACGATCTATGGATCCCTGTCGCAGTGGTGGTCCGACGCGTGCTGCTGGCTGTGGCGGCAAATGAGATAATAATCGGAGGACTCAGTCACTCGTCGTCGACGGCTGCGTGGCTGTCGGGATGGTTGTTGGGTGATGGTGCGGTGGCGGCGGCGACGGCAGCAGCGACGGTGGCGGTGGGGGCGGCGGTGGGGGTTGTATTCCATCCCTTGGCGACTGTCGGCGACGAGGGTGCGAGAGTAACGGGGAGGGAGGCAGAGGATGAACGAGGGGATGAAAGAGGATGGCGGAGGAAGAGGAGATGGAGGAGGTGGAGATGGGCTAGGAGGCGGGAGGGTGGTGGTTTTTGAGATGATCCGGCCAATCTGCGCATCATTTCCCCGATGCACCCTCCGCCCCTCGGCCACGCGCGTAGCGGCAAACCGGCGCGGATTCCGCACCACCGCAAGCAGCGTGGAAGCCCTGTTGAATGCCACATTTCGAGGCAAAGACGAAGTGGGAGAGAGAGGGGCGGAAGGGATAGGGTGTTCGCGGCGCGAAGAATAAAACGGGAGGAAGATAGACAGATACAGAAAGAGTAACGCGCGGAGGGAGAAGAGGGAGAGGAGAGCGGCACTAAAAAGGAGAGAGTAACGCGGGGGAGTGAGACTGGTTCTCCCGCGGTAGCCCTGCCGGGGGAAAAAAGTGGAAAACAGATATAGGCGAAGAAGGGGGAGGAAGGGAATAATCTTTCTCCCCGCGTAGATGCGCTCCACCGTTACCGCGGCTCGTTTTCCTCCACTCCGATGTATCTCTTCGACGCGCGTATGCACGTATCCGGAACGTGTTTGCGCGACACCGCGAAGGGATTGGATCCAGCACGCCGATCTCTAATGCCAGATGGAATTGAAAAACTCACGTGTATGTGTCATACAATTTGCCAAGAATACCCCAGCGGCTCGTCGCGCTATGAACGATAAGAGGATGGAATGCGAAACTTCATCTTACAAATACGATAAGATTATCAAAGAGTGCGCTAACCAACACTCTTATGTACTAGGTTTCTTTACATTTGCAAAGTAAGTTTGTACCACAATATACATAAGTTTTCTGAAAGAAATTCTTAAATCTTAAAGAGATAATTTAGTAAAATCTCATATGTGTGATTAAATTCTGTTTTCTAGGAAAAAACTCTTATTGTATAAATAATGTTTCGACATAGGGGACGCCGAATTATTCGTAAATTAGACCAGACATTGATCTTCTTTGGAAGGCAACAGTTATCCGCGAGAAAGGAATCGATTCCTCGCGCGCATCGACATTGTAAATTTCGCAATGGGATCGATGACGACCGAACCCCTCCGCGGTCGGATTTAGATTTTAAAGGATATCTTCCCTCGATGCGTAATGTGCGCGGCAGAGCTCGCAAAATCGTGCATGGAAACGCACCTCAATGAGCGATGTGCTTTTCAATAGGTAGGAGAGATGAGTATGTATGCGCGAATGTAATACACATGGGTTCTGCTAAATTCTGCTAAAGATCGAAAGAGGACAATCATCGTGCTCGATGCTCACGACGAAAGATTTTCTACGGCGAGATCAAAATCTCCGCCGAGTAATATATTTCTTTTTTTATATAAATATTTAAAATTATATCGCGTAAATCTCGCGAGTAACCAAAAATATATACTAATCTGATTAAAGGGAGGATAAGTAATAAATGCGTCGAAAGTCGTCCCTTCCGAAATCCATCCGTCTCATGTATCATTGATAGTTAATATCTCAAAACTATTCAAAAAATCTTTTAAATTTCCCGACATGCTGCGTATCGTAGTCAAGAATAGTTTATTCAAAAGATTTCTTATTTTAATTTATATATACAAAGTGTATAAAAGATGTTAAACGTGACTTGCAGGAGCATGCAAACTCTTCTAGTGATATGCCTCTGATGAAATCTCTGATAGTAGCTTCAAGATTTTATATTTTTATGTTATTAATTAAATACAGTTAGTCATAGGTACTTTTCAAACCCTCTGTACATATATTATAATATATATTAATTAGCGAATTATGACTAATTATTTGACAACATTATCGAGCATTTTCCTTCGAAAACAGTAATTAGTTCTTTCACAACATGCGAGCGGTCGATTAATGGGAGGGAAATAAATAATGCGCCGAAAGTTTATCGCGGCGCGTTGCGCGCATTTATTATTTACCAAGACTTTTCCTGCGGCGCGCAGCCGCGCTCTCTTTACCCGACACACAGGCCGGATGACCACTTACATCACACCATACGTGAAACGATGCTAATTGGTCCGCCGCGAGGGGTAGTAAAGCGCGAAAGCGCTCGCACCACTTCGGGCTCCCAAGCCGGTGCTCCGTTTCTACCCTTAGCCGCCTCTTGACGGCCGATTCGACGGGGACGGGGACGGGGACGGAGGATAAATCCGTGCACGCACCCGCGACATGTTCCGCTCATTAATTATGTAAAAAATTTCTCAAAGTTGTTCCTCCCGCGCATATCTCGCGTGTGCCGTCAAATTCGCGATTCATCGGATTCTGAGTTTTATCTTTTTCGATATTAATTTACGTTATCGTGATATTGCGCGTAAATCAAAATTGCATTAACGTGAATTGAGAATCATGCAGATACGAACGAGATTTCAGAAGAAGTCAAGTACGGACTGTTCTTGTAGTTTATTCAATTTTAACAAAGAAAGAGAAAAAAAGCATTGTGTAATATTTAAAACTAATTTTTCGAATGAAAGGAAGCTTTATTTTTATTATTTTATTGACTTATTCTTTTATATAGAATTATCCATTTTCACTATCTCTCTTTTCAATCGTACTACAACGCAGTTTCGGTACATGCTCTTGTTGCGTATAATTGTTATTTATACTTAATTTTTTAACTTGATACATTTAATTTATATATTTCTTTAGTTTGTGTTTTCAATTCAGTTCTAATTTAATGATTGTTCTTTGGACGATGAGTAACTCTGAGTAAATTAGCAGCGAAGAAATGAGATGGACGGATATGAACTTCGCGGTTGGGTCGCAGTCCAGCGATTCGAAATCTCGGCTCCCAAGAGAGAGAGAGAGAGAGAAAAAGGGTAAAGAGAAAGGGAGGTATTTTTCAGAGGTGGCCGTGAATCCGTAGTTAGAGATAGCTCGTTCTTCGTGAGCGTGCACCCTAAAATTTCAATCGACGATTCGACGGTACCAAGAGTCTCTTCTCCAGGCTTCGAGTATCCGAAGAGTTAGCACGAGGAGGAAGAGAACGGGGGAGAGGGTTCGGAGAAACAATTTACCCGAAATTCGCCTCGTCGCGTTCGGCGACTGGATACACTCTTATTTGTCCCTGCGGCAATCTGTCGACTGCAATCCTTCTCCACCACCATCACCATCACCACCACCACCACCACCACCACCTTTTCGGTCACCCCCTGCAACCCCGATCTACCGTCTCCCCTTTCCTGCATTCCCTAACGTCGGCCCTCGCGACGAAGAGAACGCGAAACTGCGAAGCCTCATGGGAATTTTAAACACCGACGACTCGTCAGCGCTCTTTCCTCGGCATCCATTTTCTCTCCTCCTCCCCCTCCCCCTCCTCCTTCTTTCAGCCCGGATTCCTTTTCTATCGCATTCCTCTCGCTCGTTCTTCTCCGTCCCTTCCTTCGGTAGACGGAATTCAAGAGTGTCTCTCGCCGATATAGAGTACCTGGCACAATGCGGTTACAGTTAGATCTCTTTGACATCCCCGTCACCTCCTTCCGTATCTCTTACAATGTGCGAAAATCGAGGACATCATCGGCCGATACTCTCGACGATACTGTCCTTCAAGGACGCGTCATAGCGCGCGCAGTTCTGAAATCTGATTATTCATTCTGAACCCTCGTTAATTAATCCGAGCTTAGCGCATTATGACTGGATAGCAGGGTGAAAATGATAGTAATAATGTGCATTTAACAAACCCTCTTCGGGTAATCTTCAATTCCATGCATTGAGTGCGTCGCAACATCTAAATAAACAAGTTTCGCTTATCCTAACTGAAAGATATGGAAGAATGAGATAAACTTATAATGAAGCTTCCCATTCTATTTATATATCTACAACTTTATATTTAAAGCATAAAAATCAGGTAAATCTCTTTTTGAATTTGTTTCGAATCATAGATCTGACTCGAGATCTCAGTTGAACGCGAATCGGCTGACAGCCACGCGCGCTCGTTTAATCGAGATTTATTCCCGTTGTTGCGCATCTGTCGTCCCACGCGCGAAAGAGGCGCGATGAAGAGGAAGAGGAGAAGGAGGCGAGCGGGCGGTTTTAAGAGAAAAGGGCGAGAGATGAGGAATCACTCGAGTCGCGCGCTCGCAACGAGAGCTCGCAGCGGGGTGCGTAATATTCCCGGGAAGTAAAGCTCCCGAGAATTTCAAACCTCTCCCTCTTCTTCTCTCTATCCGTCTATATCTACTACTCGTCCTCTCTCGCGGCAGGCAGAACGATAGAGAGCGTTGGCCGCCCCTCCGACTACGAAGGGATGCAAATAACTGGTGATAACAACAGATAGCTCTGCTGTACGGTGTACGCCTGTCTGTCGCGGCGTGTGGGTGACTACGATGATGGTGGTGGTGGTTGTCGATGGTTTGGGTTTTGACAGGAAGAAGGGGGTGGTATAAGAGAAGCAGGCGAAAACGGGGGCAGCAAACGGGAGACACAAAAGAGAGATAGAGAGAGAGAGAGAGAGAGGGGGTGAGCAGCGGGAGAATCAGACTTGAAGAGAGTAGGCCAGGGGGAGGGTTGAGGGACAGGCACAGGCAGGCAGGCAGGCAGGAATCGTAGAGCCGCGGAAGAGAAGAGGTAGAGCGACGCGGTGGCGTCGAGGAGGGTGAGGAGAGGGTGACAACAGAGACCGGATGGAAGGCAGAGTGGATGGAAGAGTAGTAGTCTCTGCCGCCATCTCTGTCGGTCCGTCGTTCCAATCGTGCTTGTTTCTCCTTCTCTATCTAACTGTATCCGAATCGGGTCGGGTAGAAGGGTGCGAATTGGAGCAACGAGGAGAATAAGTCGACACACAAGAGAGAGAGAGAGAGAGAAAAGCAAACGAGGCAGGCAGC